TTAAACAGCATTTTATTCGAAGATAGTTCTTATGAAATTTATTCTCCTCATTGCAGAAGCTGGCGCGTGAAAAAACGAACACTTTTACTGGGCTTGGTAAAGTTATGAAGTTAATAGAGCCTCTAACGTGTAACCAATCCAATTTAGTATTACTAATTGACGAAACTCACATGCATGTAACACGACTTTTTTCTGAGTTCAGTTTTTTAGTTGGAAAACGACAGACAACCTGATTGCCATGAGGATTCCAATTGCTTTTGTTCTGGTCTATGTTGTCTATGGCATGAGGTTTCCAGTTTCTCTATAAATTAAACAAATTAATAATAATCATCTTCAGCTTAATGGTAATTTTTTTTTATTAATGGGAACATCTACAGGGTGTGCCATCTTTTTGTCGGTATGTAAATATTGAATAACTTTGTCATTAGTGAACCGATTGACTTGAGTAGACCAGTGTTGAAAAATGAGTAAGAAGTTAATTAATGCAATTCGTTCGAATAATGCAATTTCCTGTACCGCTAAGTTAGTAATATGTAGACAGAGCTTTGGCTATGTTTTAATTTTAATACTTTTTATGTCTCGTAAGACTAACGCCTGACTCTACTACTTTAAGAAGTGCCATCCGAAGAATCTCCCTACAGGATCCCTTGTGTAAAATATAGAATTTCATAAAATATATTTCATATTTAAATATATTGTAATTATTGCATTGGATATTTACATAGATTTAAGTGTTCTCTATAGATGTATACCTATGGACAATATTTGTATTCCATATTAATTTGCAACTAGCTTAAGATGCCAAATTGGTAGTACTTGTACAAGTAGAATACTAGTTTAATAAATTGCAAATAGGTTTTTATAAAAATAAAAGGCTCTACTACATGTTGTTGCACTTAGTAGGATAAATCGGCCAAGGTTATAGCCAGAGCACACTAAAAAGCAAAATATTTTAATATAAAAACAAGAAAGGAATGCTAAAGTCGACCAGGCTCAACTCTTAAATACCCTGTACCACCCAAAAAAAAAAAAGAAATTAAATTAATTTAATTAATTAATTAATTTAATTAATTAATTAATTTAATTAATTATAATATTAATAGGGATAGTGCGGGGGTGCATCGGGAAAAATGAACAAACTCGTCCTTTCTCGGGCTCAGGAGAATCTGTATACCAAGTTTGGTTATTCTAGCTCTTATACTTTCTGAGATCCTTGCTTTCATACAGACAGACAGACGGACAGACGGACATGGCTATATCGACTCTGCTTGTCATGCTGATCAAGAATGTTGTTTCTTGTACCCTTTGGGTAAAGTCACAACCCATGAATGAAATGAAAACTCCCTAGGTTCTTTGGCACCGACTGATTTTTTGAGAGATTTCAGAAACAAGCCAACCCGAAATCTCTGTAGATCTCTGTGGCACTTCTGATAAACACGGGTATCCAAGATTGTTCAAATCACTTTGACGCCTAAAAGTATGCAAAGCGTGCAAATAGGTATCTGCGATTGTTGCCGTCAGGGGGCGCTGTTGTCCCCACCGTTGTTGGGGTGGTCGCAGCCACAACTAAAACAATCTTTTTGAGTTTAGTCGCGCGATCGGCCGTATAGGGATCACACATAAACGTCGCAGTACACACCGGTAATTATAAGATATGACAACGCCGCTTCTTATCAATGGGGAATTGCAACATGACTCATTATATGGATATTCAAAAATAAACTTTGTGCCGATCAAATATACCAATAAAAGTGTCTAAAAATATGGGACCCACAAAAAGGGAGCGGAGCGAAAACGACGAATAAAAAGCAAATTTAAATGAAAAGAAAAAAACAATAATTAACCAGCGTCGCGTTTAATGATAAGATAGCGGCAACGCGTCAGTGCGCCAGTTGTGATAACAGTTGAAATGAATAAGATAGCAAATACAGCTTAAACCTTAAGCGAGTCGAATTGCAAATACTCGTAGGATAGAATGACAAGTTGAATAAACAGCGTTGTTGCATTCGCTTCCACAGCAGTGGCAACAACAACAACAACAACGAATAGGAGTAGAGACAACAGTGCGACAAACGCGACACGGGACTGTGACAACAACAACAATGCGTAATCTGTACTACATTAAAAATATGATAAGTTTTGCAGGAGATATGGTTATATGAGCAGCTTCCGCTTCGGCGCCAATTCAACGAAAAAATACCCCACCAACTGAATGTAAATTAACTATAATACACGTCACTTAAACTGTGGATACGAATTAGTTTGTGATCTGAACTGTTTTTGTCATGCATACGAGTAGTATTTATAAACAAATATTTCAAATCTCTATCAACTATTTGCTAGCCATTGGGGTTCAAAAGCGTAACCAACGGCGCGAAGAAAATATTTGAACACAACCATTTGGCTTGCGGAATCGAAGCGCAACAACAATAACAATAACACAACAAGCACATTAAATTGCACACACAAAACCAAATAAAAATCGGAAGCAATTACATGCATACACTACGGGTATACAGGCTGCTCTTGCTCAGCACTTTGCGGCTTAATTGCTGAACTGAACTGTGTTGCAAATAAAAAGCGAAGCAAATGGTCATAAAAGCAGTCTCGAAATTAAAAATTATCTACAAAATATTTACTCTACGAAGCTGTTTAGTGTGAAATACCTGTTGTTATCTGCCCAAGTGCCCCATATATACTTGTACTACACGTATATTTCTGGCCGGTTTACGCGAAGGGTCAGGGAGAGAAAAATGGTTAAAGAAATAAATAGCGCTACAATTACAAACGCAGAGTGTAACCGCTTGAACAGCAATTAAGCGACACTTGGCTGCCTTTTTTATGCGTCTTGCCTGACCCCTAAAATGGAACGGCACTCTAGTGACATGCCATGCTTTTGATGCCTCGATATGTGCTCAACAAATCTGCCACTCTCGTAATCAACATTTTTTGTCGGCTGTACGAGGTGCACAACGAAAATGACGTCACGCATGCAGCAAATCAACTGAAATGAAATTGTTTCGTTTCAGTTTGGTTTGTGGTCATTAACTTGTAAAAGGCCCGGTGCACAGTGGCTAAAAATGTGTTTTCATATGTTGAAATATACGTATATACCTTGAAATTTGACTAAAGTAATCATTATTTGATTGTAATTCCCCACCATATAAGTTTGTTTGTTCTACTTGTACAACCATAAATCAAAATTGAAAATCAAATGAGTACTGTGATAAAAAATCGGATAAAAAATCTTGTAACGTTCTTTATTTAAGTCTTGTGATATTTTAAATAATTTAACGTGCAAATATGTACTTATGTATGTAATTATTAAAAGAACGTATGTATGTATGGCATATGTATTGATTCCAAGATTAGGGACTTCAACTTTTAGACTTTCCGAACCAAGCCAATCCAGAATATACATATGTACATATATACATAGTCTCAAGGCCGTACATAAAATTCTGCCATATAAAGTCGACCACATGTTCATTATTATGATGCACTATTTCGCCATAAAATGGATCTGAGTTGGATTTGTTGAAGTTTTTTCATTGATCACATTTTTTAACAAAAATTATTAAATATTATTTAACAAAAATTTTAATTTTTTGGGCCCCCTTTGATAAAAGCTGCCTACGCCCTTGCATATTCTGGTGGTTACCAAAACAAAGCAATTTCATAACACTTTCACCTCTCTGATACAGTTCAGAACATAGAACCAAACCCTTGTCCTATGCAGGCCTGGTATAAACTAATTTTCTAATTACTTCTGCGTTAACAGTGGTGTTACATATTTTGATAAAAACCACAAAGAGTGGTTTTGACGAAATAATATTTTTCTTCATTATATCGCACTTTAATGGATACATATATCCGAATCTATTGAACGAACCATGCACTTCAAAACAAGGCAGGCTATGGACGGTTCAAACGGAGCAATCCTAAATAGCATTGTCCGCGTGATATACAAAATGCATTTACTCATACCACTTTTAAGTGAAATCTATATTATGATGCATTTGTTTTCAAATTCATTTATACTTGTAGGAATTTTTTTTCTTAAATATTGCTTTATTTGAGAAATTCGTAGTATGCATAAAATTAGTATTTGCTGAAGAATATTCTTATTGTAATGATTTCATTAAATTCTGATTACCAAATTTTTTCCGTTGGCGTAAGCTGTGCCAGCTCGACTGTTAAATACCCTATACCAACGCTTTCGCTCCAGCCTTTTAATTAACATAAACATATTGTAGTTGTATAAATGTATGGATTTTTATAGGACTTTGCTCAGATATGGTAGTCAGCTATTGCTGATCAGAAGTTCCTGGTTAGACACAGGGTAAAAAATTGGCATCCAGAGAATTAAATTATAAACTGAAATGAACTACATACATATGTATATCCAAAATGGAATATAAATATATATGTATATACAATAGTCAGCTGATAATAAGCGGTTTTGACCCACTGTCGTGCACTGTTGGCGTGCAACTCATGCATTGTTGTAGTGTTGCTATTGTTGTTGTTGTTGTTGCTGCTGCTGCTGCCACTATCGCTGCTACTGTGCCGCCACTCACACCTTTCACATGCGACGGCGCTGCGTGCGGAAATATTAATAATGAAATTTTAATAAATACAAACAACAGGCGCAACAGGGGCCACGATTTGTTACTCCCGCGACTCCGCTGCTCCGCTGCTCCACACAGACCCGTAGACTCGCAGGTAACTGTTTTCGTAGTAGTTGTTGCTGCTACTGCTATTGTTGCTGTTGGCAACCAGAGAGGGAGCAGAGCGCATGAGGGAGCGAGAGCAAGAGCGAGAGCGCGAGCGCGAGCGATTGTCGCCTTTGTTTTGTCATGTGTTTTGTTTGTTGGCTGTTGTTGCGCTTCACATTCGAGCGCCGCCGCGCCAGCCACTTAGACGTTGTCCACATTCGTGAGCGGTTCGGCGCGATCGCGTAGCTGTAGCCGGCAATCAACGGGGCAGCAACAACAACGACAGCGATTAGCTCCATTTTACCTACGAGAAGCTGATAAAAACGCTTTACGCGACGCAAAACAGAGCAAAAAGCAGCGAGCATGTGAAAAACTAATTACAAGTGAAGTAAAGGCAGTAAACAGAAAGTATTGGGTCATGTCGTAAACTTGCAATGTACGCGTCTACTGAACCGAACCCAACCCACCAATCTACATAACCGTAATCACATAATCGCACTCGTATGTATATGTTTCAGTTCCATGCTCGCCTCTTGGATCTCCGGCCCCAACTACACACATAGCTGCTGATTCGAACGCTCAGTCATCAATATGGCAACAAGTACCAACAACAACCACCACAACAACAAGCATGAAAATGGAATAGCTACAACCGATCTGGATGCTCAAGTGAACGTCGAGGATTTGCCCATAACCTTCAGGGTAAGTTGGCAACGATTGCCGGTTGCTTCAACCGCAAACAGACCGCGTCATTTCCCCTAAAATTTATTGTCGAAAAAATGTCCAAATCAAATGAATTTAAAATGTTGTGAAGCGCAAGTTTAGCAGCACCTTGGCTAAGCGTGAAATGGCAGGGCCGCCGTGGCCGCCGTGGCCGACGTCGAGGCCCCACGCACACGTTACGCTTGGCTAGGTAGTCGCATGACTCTGTTGGCCGTTTGCAGCGGGTCTCTGGGCCCCGACATCCGGTCCGCGTTTTGGGCGCTGCGGATGCAAATGAACCACGAGTGCTGCGACACTTGCATCGACTGATGGCGGGACATGACAGGAAGTTACTAACTCTCTCTCTCTCTCTCTCTCTCTCACTATTCCTCCCTCTCTTTCTCCAACGCAGGTTAAATACATCGGCTCGGAAGTGGCACGTGGTCTGTGGGGCATTAAGTACACCCGTCGGCCTGTGGATATTATGGTGGGCGTGGCCAAAAACTTGCCACCGAACAAGGTGCTCCCCAACTGCGACCTCAAAGTGTCCACATCGGGCGTCAACCTGGAAATCATAGCGCCCAAGGCAAGCATCAACAACTGGAGCTATCCCATCGATACAATTTCATATGGAGTGCAGGACTTGGTCTATACGCGTGTCTTCGCCATGATCGTGGTTAAGGATGAGACCAGTCCGCATCCCTTTGAAGTGCACGCCTTCGTCTGTGACAGCCGCGCTATGGCACGCAGACTGACCTTCTCCCTGGCCGCTGCCTTTCAGGATTATTCGCGACGGGTGAAGGAGACGACGGGCGATGAGGGCCATGCATCGTCCACGGCAACGCCTACGGACACAATAACGCCCACGCGGCAAAAGTTCGCCATTGATCTGCGCACGCCCGAGGAGATATTGGCGGGCGAGGAGCAGGAGACGGAGGCCTAGACTTTTCCCGCCGCCAACATTTGTAAACTAAATGTATGTACTTGTATGTATGTGTGTAATTCTATTGGTATTATTCGAAGCTAGTGGGCATGCCCCATGTGATGTAATAGTGACTTATATGTTTGTCTCTCATCCGACCTAACTGTAGTTTCCTCACCCGCTAGTATTTATTTGTATGATCGTCATGCAGCTAATTACCCAAAGCATAAGAATTAAACAAATTGTAACATGAATGTTTGTTTGTTTCCGCAAATATTGTAATAAAGCAGCACAATTTTTAGCTCACGGTAAACTAATGTTTCCAAAATATTATCGTTACATTTATTGAATTTTAACGTGCATCTTTAAAAGGTTAAATACTAATAGTATATGTACTATAGCTAGCTAAAGAGAAAATAAAAACGTATATATTTTTTCTACGAGGTGCGTTCCAGGTCTTTTTAACAAGAAGAAGAAGAAGAAATAATAATACAATCACTTGTGCAAAATCAATTTATTTTATTCAAAATCATCTTTTTCGAGCTCATTACAGTGAGTTTCAGGGTCGAAAAACCTGTCGACCAAATGTGTTGGCTCATTGGCCGGGATGGCCTTTAGGATGTCGGTACCAGGCTTTTAGATGGCTTTAACGTCCACATAACGCATTCCATTCATAGGCACAGGCATTTTTTGTGACAAAATAATTTTTGGGAAGTATTTGATGTTTGTTTCAAAACCAGAGCCAGATCCAAATAGTCGACGAATCATTGATTACAGATATTTTATTCCATTTCCATTCAATTTACAGCATTTTTTTTTATTTTTTTTTTTCGTGTGCCTGCAACTTTTATAATCACGGATGTTGGACGCCCATTAATTAATCGCGTGTATTACTCGTTATCACCATAAAAATGTTTCTACAATTAAAATGTTTGGAAAAAGTGTTGTGGAGTTTAAAATCGAATTTAAGTTTTGCTTTTTGTTCAATGCTTATTTTCCATGATACAAACATGCTCTCACTTCAGATTTTACTGAAAGTCGGTAAAGGATGTACCTCGCCATCGAGTATCGGTAGTGAAATCCAATTTATAAAAATTTCAAAAGCATACACTAGTAGGATTTATACTTATTTATATTGGTCCCAACAACCGATTGGATTTTGTATTTACAAATACGAGTAAACTTTTAACCGATTAAGAACTCATCATCGAATGATATGAATTTATTCCTACTTGTATAAAATATGCAAAAGCGTATATGAAAAAAATTATTCATATAAAATTAAATAAATACAATTAAATAAAATTAAATAAATTAAAAATTTTTGTATGTATATACAGGGTGCGCCATCTTTTATGTAGGTATGAGATATTTTTATTTAATTTGGTTCTGTACAATTTCTTGAACTGAGGTTTTCAACACTGGTCTCACTCAAGTCAATCGGTTCACTAATGACAAAGTTATTCAACATTTACATACCGACATAAAAGGTGGCGCACCCTGTATTTATGTACATATATTTATTTATATAATGTTTATTTATTTGTTGCTTTTATAGTAGATGTTGAATCAGCAGGCACAACATCATAGCTCGAGAGATTTGATTAATAAATGTTAAAAGCAATTATTTCAAGTATACAAGTATAACTATTTCAAATATTTTAGTTCAAACAAGTTTCTTCTATGTGCAGTAAAACTCTGTAATTAGGCATCAATAGTTTATTTTCAAAGCCCTGTTTTCTTTGAAGATATCGCACTGCTACTAACCTTTTTCAGCTTTACCTTTTTATTTCCTGATAATTCCTTCGGATATTTGCTGATGCCTAAAATAATTTTGTACAAACTATTCAAAGGCAATACGTAGGTACTTAGCTACTTAGTGTGTCCGATAGGTTCGACAATTTCTTGTCTAGCTTTACGATCGTCGTACATTCATATTATTAATACTAGAAATACGTGAAATTCGTAAAATTACAAGAGTCCTGCTATATTTTGGTCCATTTAGGTCGTTGGTAGTTCGCCATCTCTATCGTTCAGAGGCTGAATGTCAATAGAAAAGCCTAGACACTCAAACCAGTGCACGATGGAGCTTGCCAACTGGGCCAAGGTCTGTCCATCCCCCTCCCCATCTAAGGAAGAAATACATACCCAAGGTCTGTCTATTTCCCTCCCCATCTAAGGAAGAAACACATACCATATTCAAAAATGTATTTACTTGTATAAATCTTTTATTTAATTTTAGTTTACGTTTACTAACTCAATCAATGGAACAACAATTCTAAGATTAAATTTCACCTCGGGTTTTGTTTTTTCTCTTTTTTGGAATGGCCATAAAACTAGAAAATCAAATATAGTCGGGAGCATAGGATTAAAAATTGCCTAGATTCAAATGAGTGGGACAGCGGCTGGAACTGAGACTGCTCCGTCTCGCTTTGACTTAAAGTTTCTTTGTGGGCGGGTGTTGCTTTTTGGATAGTTAGTGGGCCCTGCATTTAGCTGGCATCGGCACGGAAAAGGAAACGTCGCTTGCGGGCATCCATTTTACTGCCAGCGGTTGAGGTTTGGTGTGCCCGTGCCGATTTGGGCTGTCGCACTTCCTCTGGCTCGGTTTGGACTGCCTGCTCGACAGTCTCCACCTTGGTAGCGGTGACCGGGGCTGTCTGTACTACGGCCATGCTCGGTTCCGCTGAGAAAACACGCTTGTAGATGGGTAAAATAACCTCCTCTTCTGGCTGCTGTTCAGCCTCTTGTGTAGCCGGCAGCTCCGCATTCGCCTCCGGTTTCTGATCTGGTTCTATGGGCTGCTCTTGAGCCGGTTCGTTTGTGCTTTGGATTAGCGTCATGGGAGCAGCCGCACCAGGCGTAAGAACCAATTCCATTGGTGACATCTGCTCGCCCTTGGGCGCTTGGTCAAGACGTTCCTTGACAAGCTCCACAATATCGTCAATGCTGATCGGTGGCATATAGGCAGCTGTAGCAATGCTCTCTTCAGTCTCGGGCTGTTTATCTTCAGGTGCTTCCTCGACCTTGGTCGTGTCAATGACCTGCACTGGTATTTGATACGAGTCTGAGGGCAAACTATTCAACATCAAAATGTTGGTGATGGGCGAATCCTTTTTCAGTTGCTGCTCTTGCTTGGGCTGTTCGGATTCCAGTAGCTGCTCCTCCACCGAAGCCTCCTTCTCGATTATTTCAGGCTCTGGCAGTTTGGCTTCTTCAATAGAAATAGCTTCGTCTGCAGTTTGGAGCTCACTTGAGTGTTTCAATGCGTTTACCGGTAGCTCTTCTTCTTTTTCAGTCTCTCCATTAATCGTTTCAGCCATATGCATGCCATTATTGACCAGTTCGGTCTCAGTCTTCTCTTCATTCTTTCGTAATGTGTTCAGAAAATCGGTGATCAGCTGCTCCGCCTCGGCAGCCATGACAGGATCGACAGGCTTGAAGCCACCGATGGACTCCTTCTGTACCTCATGGCTGCTGCTGCTCTCCAGCACCTCCTCAACTAAGGGACTATGATGTTCCATCTCAGGCGTGGCTTGCATACTCTCTGGCGCATCAGCGGGCTTGGCCGCCTCCATTGCCTCAATGTTATTTGAAGCGTCCTCGCCAGAACTACTGGGCTCTATTATTGATGGTTCGGCGGGAGCTTTGGCCACAGTAATCAGTTCCTTCTCTGGCTGCTGTTCACTGTTGCTGCTTTCAGATTCCACTACCTTCTCAGTCTCTTTTGGTTTTTCCTCCAAAGTCTCAACTATGACTGCTGGTATCTCTTCTATAGCCTCGACTGGTGCCACCTGCTCGACATCGGTGGTAATTTCATCCTTTGTGGGCCTAGCCTCATCCACTTTAAGTGCTTCCTCTGTCTGTTCAGGTGAGGTTATGACCTCAGCAGCCTCCGAGGCCTGTGCTGCGACATCCGCCTCCGTTGCCTCCACAACAGGCTGAATAAACATGGTCTGTAACTTTAGCGTGGGCTGTGGCTCACCGAGCTCCGCTTGCACAATAGCTTCGGTCACTGTTTCACTTTCCTCCACAGGCTTAGGGGCGATTGGGGCGCTGTTCTTATTAAAGATGGCAGGGCGCTTGCGATTGGAATTGAAGAGTTCAGTGCGTGTGGGAGTGACGGCTACCTTGATTACTTGAGGCTTCTCCTTGTGCGGCTGTTCCTTGTTAATAGTATTGGCTGTCATGCTCGGACGTACGCTAAAACGCTGTGGCTTCTGTGGCTTTGACTCTAGCTCTAAGGGAGTTGGATTGGCGATAATGGCAATAGGCTCTTCCACCGGTTCACTGGGCATGGCGGTAGCTGGAGGTGCCTTGCGCTGCGGCTGTGGCTTGTTATAGCTGAGAGCTGGCTTGCGGCGATTAGGTTTGGGCTTTGGTTTCTGGGCCTTCACTGGCTTAGCCTGATCCATGGTGGGCTCAGCAGCAATGGGCATTGTGCTCTCCATGGGCCTATGGGATTGCATGGGTTTCTGGGCCTGCAGTGGTTTTGGGTTTTCGACGGCTTCCTGAGCAACCGAATTCTGCATTTGTGGTTCCTCATTGTCGACCATACTGCTGGCAGGCTGCTTAATATTTTCCTCCTCTGTTGGCAAACCAAAGTTTCCGTTTAGATCGTAGTATCTAGAAGAGTCCTCACATTCAATGGTCATGTCCTCGCGACGCATACAGGTAAAGGATTCCTGTGAGTAAGCAGATGGTGAGATAATTGATAATCAATTGCATTGCTCATAGCTATACCTGACTGAAAACTGTTTCCTCGGGGCAAATGAAGCTCCACCTAAAGGTGTTTTCTTTGCCATCAGCATAAGTCACAGGCAGACACACATGGAAAATCTGACAGTCGTTCTCAACATCTGCATAATAGCCATAAGACTTGTTGGCGCACGAGAAGTTGTCGGTAATGTCGGCTCGAATGGAGGTGGCATTGCTGGGCAGCGTTAAAGTGCCAACCATGGGCGCAACATCCGCTGCGGCCACCGCCTCAGGCTCCTCAGGCATTTCCTCTTGTTCCGCCACCAACGGCGTATCCTCGCGCGCCATTATGGGCATATTCCTCTTCTGCATGAGCAAAGACAAAGAGACATTTGTTGGGAAATTAATAGCTTAAGCGATTGGCGCTATTCAACTAACGCCGAACGTGCTGCGCATGCGCAACACGATCCGCGCCATGAAGCCAGCGCACGTGACGCATTGCACTGCGACTGGTCGTCGATGGATGGCTGAATGGCGGAATGGTTAGACAGTCGAAATTTCACTTGTGTTCTAGTTTTCGTATAGCCGCCGGCACTACTATACTGTGACTTGCAAGCGCCCGAACTATAGGCAGAGTGAAAATTGAATGACCACGCCTGGCACAGCCCTTGCTCATGTGCACTTCGCACCTGCCACCCCATTTTTGGTGTGCACTGTAATTGAAGTCACTTTCGAATAAACGGGCAAATATTATCACATAATACTTTTGACCATATGAATATTTGTTATTCATATTTCTTCATTGTGAGCATTGCATTTTAATGAACTCCCTAACCAACTTTCAATCACGCCTCGATTGCTGCTATCCATTTTGGAGACCTGTTCGCCGATCAGTCAGTTATGGCAAATAAATTGCCAAATCAATTTAACTCGCATATCTGTCTTTCAACTGATTCATATGGTCTATAGGGCATGTACTACAAGTATGTTTCAAATCAGCACACCAGCCATACTTCACACACAAAGTACACTAAGCACTCTCCAGTAAATGAAGAAGGGAAAATTTTTTGTCAAATATTCAAAATTGAGGATATTTTGGAAAATTATTTTGAGCGAACTTCGTTCCGGTCTCTCTAGTGCAAAGTTGAGTAAAGTTTCGATAAGTCCTATAGACTCATGGAATGATATGTGCACTGTGGTCGGTTGGCTATAGCTGTCTATAAATACCCAAGCCACTTATGAGAAGTTCTTAAAAGGCTAAACACTTGGCATACCAAGTACCGGGAGTGCGTCGCTTATGCAAATGCTTTGGGCATTGCAGCTACGAATATGCCCGGCGAGACCCATTAAAATTTCATATTGAGTCAAGCAAGGCAAACATTTCATTAACAGTTTAGCATGCCAGTTTTGTGCATGGAGCGACTTCCGTTGCGGGCGAGCATGGACAGCGGAAATGGACAGCTCGGTTTGTCGATGCTTGCTTGTCCGGCCATTTCCTTGTAACTGAGACTTGACAATGATGAGACTCTACCCACCTGATAGGCCGCCGGTCCCGCGCTACAGCAGGCGCTGAGGCACAGCATCATACACATGTATTTCCACATTCTGGAGTTCTTGAAGTTCACGCAGAGTTTGAGTTATGGTTCGAGTTAAGTTGCTTATCACTTTTCGTATCACTTGCTGCGATCCTTAAACCGCAAACTACCGAGTTTTTTCTATATTTTTTTTGGCACTAGCTTAGGTCTACATTTAATAAATTCACATATTAATCCTTGATGAGTGTGAGCTGTGTGAGTGAGTGTGTTAATCCAATTATAGTGCGTATCTTAAACCAAGGCTTGCACTCGCACTGTTGCTGCGGCTTTTGCTTTTACGTTTGCGTTTGCGTTTGCTGCTGCTCCCTGTTCGGCACACCTGTGAGGCACCGTTGGTTGAAAAATACTAACTGCGACCGACGAGGCTATGCGACGCCCAATTTATATATTCTTCGCTTTGATTTATTAAGAATGCAAAAGCAGAGAAACCCAACGAGCTTTGCCACTCACACATACCCAGACACTTGGCCAACAACACTCACAGGTGCGCGTGCGCACACAATCAAAGCCAAAGAAGTGTAGGCGACAACAACAGCGACAACAATTACAGCGCTCATTGTCGTCGCTTCTGCGCAGACGTGCCAGTCTTGTCTGTCTTTCGTCTGTATGATGGTATGTGTGTGTGTGTGTGTGTGTGTGCGTGTGCCTTTCTTGTCCACTCAGAGTTTGGCGCGCATGCGCTTAAAGTGTGCCGTTGGCAGTAGTAGTGGAAACTCTTTGACCATGTGTGAGGGTATGTGGAACGCATTTGATGGAACCTATGCCATAGCACCGAGTGCCCAAGATTAGCGAAGAAGCTACTCTAGGAAGGGGGCTTCCTAACACGACAATAAAAGCAAAAACATTAAAGGATTTCAAGTGCCATAATATTTTGTGCAATTTTTAATTTCATTTATTCACAACAAATTGGCGCTAAAGTGTGGTTATTTCTGTTATAACTTAACAACAAGGAATTCAGGTTATAAGACATTTTCTGCTTAATCAGTTATAAAGTATGGCTTAACATTTTATGAGTGAACGGACAGTTTCTAAAATGTAACAAAAGCGGGGGAAAAGTTTATCAAAAACAGTTGAGTAATTCACTTAATAAAGTATATTTATTTAACATTTTAAATATGTGGAAAACGTGTAACCAAAACTACAAGTATAATTTAGCTCCCAAGAGACATACGATATTATGAAACATAGCAGCACGACATCACACAAAAACCACTTGAGTTTCAACAGCAACAAAAGGAATAATTAATTTATAAGTACGCCATACATCAACTACTATATAATCCATTTGGACTAAATGGATGTGAGAAGGAAAAGAGGAAAGATTTAGAATAAGTCATATGCCACATGGGCTAAAAAGTTATCAAAAGAATGCTAGTAATGTACTGTCTATAACGATACTAAGCCATTATAAATAGTTGATCTCAAGTTAAAGGGTAAATTTTGTTTGAATCCGGATGAAACGCGTGTTTTTGTAACGCAAAGATTGAAAACAACATAGCTATACGACTAAGATGACAAGATGACTAAGATGATAATCTTATATTAAAGTTTGCTTACTATTTACTAATAATCATAAATGATCTTTAAAGAAGAAACTGTGACTCGGCCATCTACAAGTATGGAATAATTTTTAGAGGCTTACAACAAAAACAAGGAACATTTAAATCTATATCAGTTAATGTCTTCTACATAGAATAGCAGCTAAACAATTAGTTCATGACTTGAGCATCTTACTCTACTACACATCCTTGTTCTTAAACAAATCATTTAGAGCTGTGAAACGGGGTCTACAAATGTGTGTAGATAAATGTCTGAGAGTTGGCAAATGATTGCCCTCTCATTATTGGCCCCATCTGCATTCAGGCTCGTCATCTCACAGCTTGCTTACAGCTACTTCTTCATTAGGTTGCAGCTAGCACTTCTCATTGCTATGCCACAGGCTCCGCCGATGTTACAAGATCAACAACACTAGATAGGCACAAATAGATGGGACAGCGAGCTTTGAGAAGCCGCCAACTAGAACCACGACCAGCTGCAAGTGTGAGTAGCGCCAGCGTAATACTTGTAGGTACAACACATATCACTTGTTAATACATAATTAATAAGAAATCCCAATTGATTTTTTATTGTTTCTCGCCACTTCCGATGCCAATGGCCCCGCCAGCTTTCGCTTTTAGTTGGGCGTCGTTGTACGTGAGTTGGAGAGAACAGACACGGTTGGGCCAGGGGCGGGGATTGCACATGAAATTAGAAATTCATAATTGCCGTGCTATTGTCCACGTATCGTATACGAAACAGTAGCAAACCATTCTAAATTACTAATGCGCCCTAATAGACGTCGTTTGTTTTGGGCGTTTGGTTAGCTGTGTGTGAAAGTCAGAGTCGCGGCGCGCAATGATATTTCATTTGTTGCATAATCCCATGAGTTTCATGGCTCTTGTTGTAACCACTTGGCAAGCCAATGAACCCTGACAAATTTCGGGTCTGTGCTGCCGAATGGCAATGGGAATCTCTCGCCTGTCTTAAGCCACACTTGGTACACATAAAATCGCAATCTCACGTCGTTGTCATCGCCATCGCCATCATCATCATCATTTCTCTGCTATTGTTCTCAGTCTCCTCGATTCTGTGCGTCTTCGGGCAATCTTTTGAGTATAATCTGCCGCTCCAAGTGGCACCCAATGCTGACGCATGCCCAATACGCAGTCTTAGATAATCAATTTCTGAGTAGCTGTGTTATTGGCTATTTATGCACTAACACCAACTCGATTGCCATCGCCATTTTTCCAGTGGCAACCTGAATCTAAAGTACTTATACAAATGCCTGCATGCAATTGGCGCATGCGCGCTTAGCAACAAAGTTAACTTAATGCAACATATTACCAACAATATTTGCCGGCTAAAGGGCAGAGCGACAATGTGGAAAGATAACAACGCCTTGACAGCAACAAGAATGCGACGTGTTGGGCTAAAATTCTGCGACTCTTCAGCTGGCTGGCAAAAACATGACTGGAATTATGAAATTTTTAAATTATTAATAGACTGGAATGGCAGTCAGACAAGCAGGCAGGCAGGCAGGCAACAGCCATGACAACGGGCGGCCATGTACAGGTACTTGCTAGAGATGGACGTGGGCGAAAATGAAATGGGTCTTGCCCAAAGCTGTATATGTAATTAAATTTAATTAAATTAAGAACAATATTTATTTGGTGGTCTGTTTTTTATGAGAAGAATGGCGCGCCATGTCGATCTCTTGCGCGCCAAGTTGGGTGACAATTTGCCACCTCTGATCTATAATTTGTCATTTGAGACTCTTTTGGGGGGTACTGGAAAAATGCAATGCCAATCATCTTTTTCGATGCAGACCCATAAGGCGAATATTAAGCAAGCCATTCGTGAGATAGAGTCAGCAGGCTGTGCTATTACGAAGCTACTCAAGGCAGCCATGTGAATAAATTCGACTTCCATAAATAATGGGAATGTTTGTTCTCTGGATAAACAATTGGACAATAAAAAATAAAGATTTATTATTTTGATTACTTATGAATTAACGAACTATATGATTACTGTTCCGAAGCTTAACATTGTATTTGGTAACCAATGGTCATCAATCGCGACCCTTGATTGATGCAGCACCATCAGGTAAGAAAACATTCATACATTATAAGCAAAACTGTTTTTAAATCAAATCGTTTAATGAGCTGACATAATTTATCTGGACATATTGTAATGATGGAAATAGAGATGCGGAAATCACGATGGGATTATAGTCTAGTATAATATGTGGTCTACAATTATTTCATAGTTAAGAACTTAAATGGTTGAGGATGTATGTTAAATTTATTATAATTATTCTTATATTATTTTTACTTGTCGATTAACAAAGGAATTAATTGATTAGGCAAACCTTATTACTCCTCTATTCTGATTTTTTTCATCAAATCACAAAACACCTCCACAAATCATGTTTAAAAGCTTGATCTTACTTAGAAATAGCTTATTTTTGTATAACTTGAGGAAAATGTACCTATGTCTATGTTGTATGACAGAAGTAGTCACAGAGATTAAACTTTTTTTAATGATTGCATTTAAACATTTCCCCAAATTTCCGCTTGCATTGTACTGCTATAGTTTATGGCATTCTTCTCCAAGCGTGAGCAAAAGTCCAGCTCCAATACTTACCATGCAGCTATTCAAAAAGAAAAAAGTTGAAGTCGAAACACAACTTGTAGAAATTGCAGCGAGGTGTCGAAGTCGAGGTTTCCCCTATTCCGTTTCATTTGGTTTGCTGCATGAAAAACACATGTAACTTTCTAAAATGCAAATGGCCTGCAATGGAAAAATCATGTGCGCTTTTTAACTTTTATTTTTTGTTTGATCGAAAATTAAAATTTAAAGCCCCATCGACACGTGGGCGTGAAATGCCCTTTTGCATATCAGCTAGTCGCGTGCACCGCGGCGTATACGTGATGGGCTGGGCGAGCATATGCCGGCTACTTTCTAGGCGGTAACTAAATTAATTACATTTTCAAACTATTTCACTTCATTTGGCTCGTCACCCACCAATGGACAGTTTGAGTGACAGCCACGCAGCGCTGTCATCTGCTGGAGCACTGAACAATTTTTAAATGCCAAATTACTTTTGCGTGGTATTGAATAATTTTCATTTTGAATTGCAATATTTATCGATTAATACAGTTGTCCCTGTAAGATACACACGTAATAAACGAATGTGAGCAATAAGAAAAGTTAGCCACTGTTTGCTATCCACATACCCAATTAGTTCGGTTAGTGGAAATCGTCCCAGAGGCAACCCTTCGACCAATATGGCTATGTGTAGAATGTTGTCAGAATTTGAATCCTCCTGGTCCTGCTCCATCTGCAGCGACTCAAGGTCAGGCTCCATAGCTACCTTCAAACTGGCTTCCTCAATTACGAATGTCGTCTTAAGCTCGGGCGAATCATGGTTCCATTCGTTAAGGCCACCACACAGATTCTTAATTTTGGTACAAATCCAATTTAAATGCGACTCAGTCAACCAGCCAATCTGGCCAGTTGAGTTACCGTTGCCAAGAATAATCCTACGCGGCACTTCCCGAATAGCCAACGAAATTCTGCGGTCACCAACCTAGACACACATACACATACATAGGTGGTAGTACAATGCGCAGATACTACATATTATTAACTGAACATACGAAGTGGGGAAGTCTAACATACCTTAACCGTCTCTAAAGTTGCCGTACTTGGAATAAAGTAAGGCCAATAGGGTAGAGACATTTTTTCGTAAATATTGTACGTCTGTTATAAGTAATTTCAATGTAATGACAAAAGAGTTTGAATATGAAAAGTATTTCCAAGCCACAGAGATGTAGGATGCTTTCGATAGTCAGACTTGTTTTTATTGATCAAATACAAAAGCATTAATAGTCTTAGAACAGTCTTTAGTTAACATTCTTATGAAGCTAGACTCGTATTACACCTTCGGCAGTAGCTTATTTTCGTCTGTAGGCGGAGAAGTTCACATGGCCTATGGCTATTAGCTGTTTCGAACTGTGAGATAAACAGTACTATTCTCGGTACACAATCAGCTGATGCAGCAAACCCATATCCCAACAGGGCTATAATATTCCAAAGCCTACCACCTCTTTACATAAATTTAATAAATGCAACCATTTGCGAGTGACGCCAAAGGTATGGTTATATCTACAAATATTTTGCAGAAGCATATTCTTATTTTTTAAAACATTGATGCATCGTGCATCGACGATGATTTAACACGATACATCGATGATTATTGCTGGCGAAGCATCGCCGAATAATTGATATTTGCCCAAATACATCGAACTTTTTTCATGTTCTGTCAGATTTCTATCTCTGGTCTGTCGGTATTTTTTCTTAAATTTTGTTTTGTTTTAATTAAATTTTATATCATATGTACTTTTCATATCTTTAAGCATTTGATCTCCATTTTGATTTATTTATAATATCTTAGCCTTTTCTGGTCCTAGGATTAAAGTAATAATTGTGATAAATAAATTAAGTATGTAATGTGCCACGAAAGCGTTTGATATATGTTATATTTAATATTCATAAAATTGCTATGAAATGAGGCAATTTAATTAAAAGTTTAGATAAAAATCATTTCTGCTATGAGTTCTTTATATTGCGTAAAGAACTACGAAAATATATTTTAAATTATAAACTTTATTGTTTTAAAACTTCTATAATTGTTTTACCCCTAATATTAGCTTATTTTCTATGAAAAAGTAATTTATTAAGGCTCTACAACTTGTTTGGACAGAGCCCGCTTGTGGGTAGTTAAATTATATTTTTTATTATTTTCTCGATCGAAAATAATTATATATTAATATGCATACAAAAATGATTATTATCCCCTCTCTCCCTGATGTTTATACTTAGGAATATTTTAGTATTAACAAATGAATGTCACAATCATACTTATAAGAGTGGGTTCCATTCTTGCTCATGTCGGAGGTAAATCACATTTGCACTAATTTTATCAATTGGAAAATTTTTTATATACGTACAAGTAGTTAGTCCGGTGGAACCGAATGATCTGCGCATTTCCTTCCCGCTCTATCACAGACAGGGCGATGGAGAAACTAATAAAGACTCTTCCATTTAATCCGAGCACGAACGCCATTCTTCTAATGGATAAACTGCTGGGAATGACCAAATCTTTTAACAAAGTGTTTTGAAGAAAATAATACAAATACTTCTATATGCCATTTGCCACATTTGGCGCTTCTTAAGATCAATGAAACTAGTTTATAAGCACATCTTCGACAGCTTATTTTTGTTATTATTAAAATGGTTTGAATACTTTGGCAAAAATATTTTTAATTCTAATCAGAACAACAAGAAATTATCGTTCGTTATCCATAATAAATGTTCAACTGATAATGCATTGCACATCCTCTTTGGACCATATGCTTATTTTATAGTGAACATTTCCATCTGAACCGTTTCTTCCTCTTCTAAAAGATGCCGGATAGATGCCCCTCCGGCTAGAGATTCTCTTTTTATTTTTATTTTCAGTTTTATTCGGTTAATTAGCTATAAATTAATCATTACTTTATTTTATTTATTTATTTATGTCATCAAACATATGACTGGCTTATGTTTCTTACTTTATAGTTTTTTATTGAAAATTTTAACAATTCTAATTGTTGCTACAATTGGCTGTAAATCAGGACATTGCTGACCGATGGGAAATAAAATTACCCCATCGAGTCGGAGGCGTGTATAAGATATTATTGTAATATGATTCGTTTTTCCCTACTTAGGCTTTCATAGCGCGGGCGTTTGTTTTGCTTAAACTAAAATAAAGTCTAAAATCTAAAATTTGCTCAAAACAGCGAAAATAAAAATTAATTGGAATCAAATGTTAGTTATTTTAAAACTTATATTTTTCATGATGAGCAGCTTGGGCGTGACTTTGACACTTCCTTTGTTTTTACAAACGCAGCACGTCGGCTGTCCGCTTGTCATTTACCGTTAGTTCACCGATATTCTTTGTACCTACGAACAAAAGAGCAAGTCAAAAGATTCGCCCAGCTCCGCCGCCTCCGGAATTTCAATTGATTTTCAGCATTTTGGCAATACTTACAAACATACATACAAGTACATAGTATAGTTTATATATAAATATACATATATAAGTATATCGAGAACAGATCGTATCTGCATGACATATGGCTGTCGCCCCTCCTTGATCGACAGACACAACATGGCAAAATTGAGTTTAGAAAGTGCGTCTGTGCGATGAAAAAACTAAACTATTTCTCTTATCATGTGGCACACGTTTCCAGACAAACTTACCACCAAGCACTAAGCACCGCACAACCATCAACCATCAACCAACAACCATCAACCAACAACCATCTACCATCGACAATCAGTGGCAAAAGTCGGCGAAGCTCCCACGCAGGCGCGACAGCAAGCAACAACTATGGAGCTATGCAGGCCACATCATTGAATTTTTATGGCCAATTTCATTGATTTTAATTTTGCTAATGATAAGCGTTTCTTTGCACGAACCTCGAGAGCGCGGACGGGCGAACCGGCAGACGAGCAGACGGACGGGCGATGATAAGTCGTGCTGTGGCATGTCAATTCGCTTTTCCTTTTGCCCGCCAGCCCGGCACATTTGTAATGAAAGGCGTGCTTAAACTTTAATGCTAAGTGCGCTTTTCATTCAATTACTAGCGGTGGGCAGCGGGTCCGAAGTCTGTGCATTTAAACAAGGTCAATATCAATACGCACATATTAGAGATGGACATGGCCGCCCCGCATTTTCCTAACAGACACGACCCGACTTTTAGAAACCATCCTATCATTTACAAGCGGGAATATTCTAATTCTCAATTATTTGCTCATTTCGCATATGGAAAGAAATCATTTTAAACAGTATAGTACAGTACAGTAGATACAGTAGATACCGACAGTAAAATATATACCATGCAGCAAGAAGAAGAACGAATTTGACGTACAAGTAGTAGTGCAGTAAAATTGTTTACTAACTAACTAACTTAACTTAACTAACTTAGATATTAATTATGTACGTAAAGTTAAGTTCATGTTGTTTTGTGAGTGTGGACAGTATTGAAAGAATTCTAGCGGGTGTAACAGAGGAAAAGGAGGAGAATTTTAAAACATACTTGCCCTGCGACATATAACGCATCTGTGTGCAAAATTGTGTGTCTCTGAAATCTAGGTGTTCATACGGATAGACCAGGCTAAATCGACTCGTCGTAGTATAAGTATATACATATTGTATATATTGCAAAATTTTTCACTTTGCACAAACCTAATATATTTTGTACCTTTGTACCTTTTAGAAACAGGGTAAAAAAAATAATCTATTTAAATACTATAATCCATATGCATAATATATATAAGTATTACATACTATACATATTCATAAACCTAAGCTATTTTCTGATCAGAAGACCCTGATAATAATAATCTGCAAACGCTGTTTGGATTCACTATTGAATTTTCGTGAAGCATCGGTTAGAACGTGTTTTATAAAATCTGCAAAAAAAAGCTAAAGGACACCCACTAATATTTGTATACCCTGTAACACACAGAAGAAGGCGTAGGAGGGTGACAACCCTAGTCGATACAGTCGGTATGAGCGCAAGGATCTCAGCAAGTACAAGAGTTAGAATTAGCAGGTTCTCCATGCATTAGTCCAGTTCATTTTTTTATTCAGGTACACCCCCTACTTATCCCCTATCAGTGATTTTTCATAACTCCGGTAATTGTTGAAATTTTGAATTTCAAATTTGGTACTTACATTCCGTTAGTGATTATGTCTCCGTATGCCAAGTTTCATTATGATATGTCAATTATGAAGAAAGATATAGCCATAAATGCAATCTCTGCCCAAGCTCTGCCCACTGCTTGTTACTTCATTGACTTAGCTCTGTACACGCACTTAGACGCACAGAGACGATTCTTTAAATGTATACTGTTGAAAATTTTTATAAACATATGTCTCCATTTATGTATGTATTGAATATTTTTGATTTAATTCAATTAATTAGTTAAATTTAAAAACATTTTTTAATAGTTCTTTATCTTTTTTTTTTGGACTTGCTATGGTTTTGTAATTAGGCTTAGCCTTCTTGAAATTAGTACAATTTTAAATGATCAAAGATCTCTTTACAAACTGCAAGATCGTGACTGAAAACGAGGACTATTTTTCAAAATGTAAACTAATAAATTAATGTGATAAATAATCTAGAGGAAACAGAATACAATACCCTCCACATTGCAGATTATTTCAACTTCAATTCAGTTTCCAATTCTACGTCCACAAACTGCAGCAGGTTTCGCTCTTGTTCTTCTTCCTTTGCTTCTGCTATGGGAGCATATAAATTTATAAATTTAAAAGCTGTTGGGGTGCATAGTAATTTATTCTCTCTTGTGTTTTTATAATTTAGAATAATAATAGATCGTAATGTATTTATTAATCCATTTTCCCTCTCTAACGTGATAAATTTCTAAAAATTGCGTTTAAATATGAATTAAAACTTTTCAACAATAGGCTTTACTGCTTATATATTAAACTTTTGAAGCCACAAACAAACTGCGTCTGTAAGCGTTTGAATTTGTTTCCAAATAAATGAATTTACTAAGACTAATATAGTATATGAAATGTACTATTCCAATGCAAAGTTAATAACTTCATAGAATGATTTCTCTTTAAAAACGATACATTTAGTAGTGATTCTTCAGTCTTGAACGATTTTATTTGTAATTCAATGCCCTTCATATCGCTTATAGCTTATTATTAGTAAAGAATAATTTAATTAAAGCCCAGGCGATTATTGTGCTCCTGAAAATTAAAAAAAAAAACTCAACATTCAATAAAAATTTAAGCAAGTAGAGGCTTTTCTTTTATGTGTTCTTTCTGGTATTATCGTGTTTTGTCGTGCGTGCAAGCAACGCTTTAGTCAAAAACACGACCTATGCCCACCTCTCGTGCATATCTATTTGGTGTATTGTGACAACAGACGTGTCAGAATGCGTGTGAAGTCCAACTAGTCGACTTTTGGACACTTACGAGCAACGCGCTCTAATGCAGGTGAAAGACTTTCTTTTTGGATTGTCCAATGCTGCGACTCGGACTCGCGCTGGGCGTCATCCATCAGTATACTCGTAAGTACAGCTCCATTTCAATCGTGTCGACAATTTATTAGCCATAAATTCAAGATACAATTGCCCTGACACACACCACATTTAATTGCTTATTATAATAATTTTATTAATTGTTGCGCGACAATACACGCACATTTGGCATTCAAAGCGAGTCCGAGAGCTGCGCATGCGCAAATTGTTGACACCCAAGAGTAGATCGCAGTGTGGCGTCTTGTCTATTTTCGGCACACGTTTTTACTCATTTGGTATTGCAGAGCAGTGTCGGGGGCCAGAATTGGGCCAGCATTAGAATAAAAGGCACGGCGCGCATACGAGCTGGTGAAATTCGACATTCCCTCAAAGAACTGGCCGCATTCTTATTGCCAAAGTGGGTGAAATGCTTGGCAACAGGAAGTATTGCTGGTCAGTCACTGTTACAGTTATTGAATAGTTTTTAATATTCATCAAACAATATACATACAATAAATACAATACTTGTAAATAAATAGCATAAATAACTTAATGCTAGTTTTTTCAACTGATACTTAAGATATAATTTAGCTAAGTTAAAGGCATTGATTGTACTAAAAACAACTTTTCTACTAAGGCGGGGTTGCACCTACAATTGGTTTACTGGCGTTTGTGCTAAAAATTACATAATTTCGAACTAGGACCTCAGGGATTATTTAATAATCATCGTCGTTTAAATAAAATAAAATAATAATAATTATGATCGATCAAAGAAATGCGTCATCTCTCTTTAGTGCCATTGGTACTGATTGCGATAGGCCAGATAGTGCGGATCCTGGGTCTGCTGGGGTCGCGGCTGATAGCTGTCCGTTGACGAGTCCGCGTCCTCGACCGATGGATCTGTCTGTAGGGAGCGCTTCCAGTAGCTTCCCTGCTCCCCGTTCCAGTCCTCACCATGGTCCTCATAGTGGTGCTGATGATGGGCATGTTCAACATAGACAACCTAGTTAGAAAGTATGCAGATATGGCGGAAGTGAGAAACACCAGAGGAAGTACCAAAGATGCCCAGAGCAAAAGAGCTGTGTAATTGGTGAAGGTTTAAGCTATAGTTGTCGTAGTCTATATGTGGTTGTGTCAATTAGGGGACCATAAGTTGTATTTGCAATTCAGAATTTGTGTTTATCATATCATCAGGGAAAAGCTTGAGTCGCCTTGTTTTTAGTCTGCCGCCAAAACGTCTCTAACACGCTCGCCAATACTTACACAGTTGGGAAACTTTTGAGGAAAATTGTGTCAACGCTACTCAGACTGAGTTATGTTTTAGTTTTGGTTTGGTTTGGTTTTGGTTTTGGTTTTTGTTTTAGGGTCTTGTTTTGTCTATACATTTTATATGTACGGGTACATTCCAAAACATTTGAGTAGCTCTTCAAAATGTTACCATATCTGAAACCAAAGAGGTCTGAATATGTTAGCATACGGATCAGATGGAGTCGGTAATAGTGTTGGCGTGTTTTTCTTTTTTTTTCATTTTTTGTTTTGGAACTGTTGGTGAATTAAAATCGGTACCGGAAACGGAAACTGTAGCGGAGTGGCCCAAAGGAAAAGTCAAGAATAAATATCACCGTCGCTCGGTTGTTGGAGTAAAAAAATCAACGCATATTACATATTTATAAGTATTTGTACAATTGTTTGGGGAAAGTGTTGAAGGTAGTAAGAGAATAGAATAGACAGATAGAGAGAAATAGTGGGAAGACACGCGCAGCAACGGCTGCCAACAAACCTTTGCCAGAAAATCGTGGATTGTACTTAAACTTACAAACAATTTCAAAACTGAAAAGTGCAAATAATCTGTTAAAAACAAGTAGTATTGGTCTTGAAACCAGTCGTGTGGGAGAACCAGTGAGAACAAAACGCAAATAGGGGCTTTAAAGGCATCGCCGACTTTATCTTACCTTGGATGGTGTGCCGCCACGCTTCACATCTATCCAGAAACGGGCTATATTGATGAGCAGACCAATCAGTGCAATGGCGAAGAATTTGATTTGCAAATGCGCGCCCAGAATCTTCAGCAGCAGCTCAATTTTTGCCTTCAAAAACTGGCCCAGCAGTATCAGCTTCATGAGTGCCTTCTTCTTCTTCTTCTTTTTGCCACGTGTCACTATAAAATTGTTTTGGGGAAGGTGTCAAGTTTGGAGAAAGAGAGATAATGTCTGATTAGTTCGGAATGACTGGCAATGGGACTTACGGCACTAGGCAAAAGTAACGCATCGAACACAAAACATATCATAGATACTGTCGCTTGGGAGGGTGGTGTTTGTTAGTATGAACTGCAGTGCGCATTGGGTGCGTTAACGGTAACAAAACGATTTAATGGAGCAAGCAAAAAGCAGGCAGCATGCAACAAAAAATATTAACACTAACTTAACTTAAACTTAAAAATGTATAGCAGCTTCAAGAAGGCAAATAGTATTACTTTTCAAATGAAGTTAAGTGTACAAAGGCAGTCTTGTAGACTGACTAGAAGAACATACAGATTTCAAATATAGAATAATTTTAACCATTTAAAATGTCTGAAAAATATATATATTACTTAAGCAAATTCTAAAACGAAAGCAGATAATTCATTCTTTCAATTGTATTTCTTTGAGATTTATATATATCTGCAGTTTTTACTTGGCAAAAAAGACCGACTAACAGAACATACAGATTTCAAATATAGAAACACTTTAACCATTTAAAAAACTTTAAAATGTCTGAAAAATAAATATATGTATTACTTAAGCAAATTCTAAAACGAAAGCAGACAATGCCTTCTTTCAATTGTATTTTTTTTTGAGATTTCATTTATGTGTGTCTGTTCAACAGTTTTGTTGCGCAAGAGTAAAGAGTATAGTATTTGCCTGCTTGAGCTCAACACAGTAGTCACCATATGTATGTATTTTTTAATTGAATCGAAATATATATGTATGTATCTGCCATTTAAATTTGGCAACAAAAAAACACACATGCTGACAAATATTTAAAGCCAAAGTTACCACAGCACGCATATGTAGCTGATGGCTATATAACGCGTGTGGTGACTAGGACTGCTTTCCCACCACCAAGCAAAGCAGTGCAGACACTGCTTGAACCAATCCGTTACAAGCGCATGCAAGCAATGGAAATTTAAAGTGATAGGCCAAGTAAACTATTTAAATACTATAACTAATGGCTAAGAGGCACTAAATTGTGCTTCGGAAATGGTGCGCAAAAGTCATGGAAAACCACACGCAGCAAACAACACACACCTCCGTTACTTCTACCATATTTTGTTGGATTTTTATGCTTGCGCTTTTCCCCGCTGCTCAGTAAATCGTCGGAGCCGCTGACCAGCTCGTCCAGCAGTCCCAGACCCAAATGATCGGTTGACTCGTGCTCCACAACCACAGATGCCTGTTGACCCTTCCTCTTGCGCTTGCCCCGCTTTTGTTTCCGCTTGAACGGCTTGCCATGTCCATGCCCGGAGCTGGAGACTGACGTTGGCGCGCTATCATGCACTGAGCTTACACCATGATGTTGCTCCGGTGCCGCCTGTACTACCACTAAAGTGGCAGGCTGTTGCTGCCCCTTCTTCTTTTTCCTGCCCTTCTGCTTACGCTTGCCGCCGCCGCCGCCGCCGCCGGGCTTCTTGAGCGCGCCACCATTATTTCCATCTTTCCCGTCTTCGATCTCGATGAACTCTGCATTGCCGGATGTGTTGTCCTCGCCAACGCTAAGCGCTGTATTCTTTAATGGATTTGCCACAACCTGGTGACTCGCAGCTGCACCAGCATTTGTGTTTTCAGGCTCGTCCTCTGTTTCCGCCTCGTCATCCTCGGTCTCAGACTCGGGCTCAGCACTCTCTGAGGCATCCTCCTCCTCTTCCGCCGTCTCGTTGGTGTCTGCCTCCTCGTCCGCCTCATTCGCATCTGCCCCATCGTCGTAGTCCTCTGTGTTGTCATTATGATCGTTTTCACTTTCGTCAGTCGCTTTCGATGTTTGCAAATATTCGTACTCGCGACCAAGGAAGCTGGTTTTTCAAGCAAAGCAGAAAGAGAGTATTAGATACAAGTGGACTTTTCGTGTTGCACTCACTTACCCATCCATGGTCTCAGCCAGATATTCCTTCATATAATTGGTGCCTATTTCGATTTTCTTTAGAAGCGTCGACGGCTTCTCTTTGATCGGCAATTCAGAGGTGCTGTAGCCTCGCTTCTCGATGGTGGCATTCAGTTGTCGATCCGCTTCGACTGTTTGCATATTTGATTAGAAGAAAAGTGTGTTTAGCAAGCATGACTCAATTATTGATGTTGTAGATGTTGCGGTTGTGGTCGAACCCCCATAAGCAGTAGACGTCACGATTATTTCACTTTTCATATTTACGAGCATGTTCAAGTCTAACTAAACCAGCCGCCGCATAAACGTCAATTTAATTTGCTTGCCCGTGACCCTCGAATTTTGGAAAATAGTAAGCCTAAAATATGGACAAGCGTGTGTCACAATCTGGAAAGCGATTTCCCTGCTATGTGATGGGTTACTACCAAAACGTCTGCCCTCGTCTTAACCTTTTATTACACCTGCATTTCACAATCAAACAAATCTTTGGCAGCAAAATAAAATTAAGTTCTCCAACCATTTAAATTTCTTAAATGTTTGGGGCTAAGCGTCAAAAATTTGTTTGCTCTTTGAACCCAACTCCTACCTCTGGGCAAGTTGCAAATTTCACTTGACTTCGCCATGCAGCGAGCCCATAAATCACACGAACAATCTGAACATGATGTGGGAATATCAACTATAACCTGGACTCACCTTTCAGTTTCTGCCACTGCACGCCGAGCTCCCCGTCCCAGGCGTCCAGAATACGCGCGGACTGCTGACGCGCACAGCTCCATGGCTCGGCACGTATGGGACAAAGTACTAGGTCTATATATGGCGAGACTTCTGAAAATATAATACATATAAAGGTAAAGTATGAGAGCCTGGGCACTGTTTCTTATTCTACGAGTATTAACTGGTCAAATAGTTTGCACTAAATCGCAACCTATTGCCAATAGGCTGGACAAATAAGCTGACAAGCGATCTTAACATCTTCACTGACTTTCGTTATTGTCCATAAACCATTGGCATTTCCTCGAGCAGCTCACACGCATTGGGATGCGATCTAATTTGGTCAACAAAGCGACAACCAGCTGGCCTAAAAGTCAAGACCAACGCACAGTATCTGCGGCTTCGACGCCAACTTTTCCAAAGCCAATATTTGAGTGAAAGTATGCTTTGCACCGCAGCGGAATTGGCCAGCCATGGCACCGGTCAGCCAACACTTGCGATGGTGCTAACTAACTACACACACATGTTGCATAGACGAGTCTGTATCTCCACTGGACTGGCGCAGCGCTGTTTGGCTTGAGGCATGCGTCGTACGGACTTCTACGCCCCATCCCTCCTATGCCTCCTCCTCTAGCTCTGCCTTTTGTTTGTGCATTGTTTAGATGTGGCGTATTCCGTTGTTTTTTCCACGATCGAAGCAGACCATGTTTTATTTATGGCTATGGCCTGTGGTTAACACACACAGACACACACGCATTTCTAATTGTTAACTCTCGACAGCACTTGTTTATCTGTCGGCGACTCTGGCGCACGCGTGCCCATCAATCAAGTGAAAATGTGCAACTATTTCGCCGATACATCAATATGATGATTGCAGTTTGTCGCCTTTAATTACAATTTAATTAAATACAAACAATGCTTAATTGAATTAACGCTATTGTGCTCATCTTATGCATTCCAACTACGCCAATAAATAATTGTGCTTCCAGGCTGTACAGAAATCTATATTTAACTTTCCTTTACAGCCGTGCAAATCGAAGTACATCTAATTCTGTTTTTAAACGGTAGATTGGTTCCAGAAAAAGTCGCGTAAAATAAAAACCTTGTAAAAAAGTCATTGATTATATGTTATTTTGAATCGTGCTAAATGAAATAAATATATAAGATTTTTTTTTTTTTAGAATTAGGTTTACTATATTTTCTGTTTTAATATAGTAGAAGTATTTCGAAAAGGTACTTCAAGATTCAGGCAATAAGAAATAATAAGCCTTATATCTCTAATTCGGTATATCTACTATCTATCTCATAAAAGATTGTTAATTATAGAAATAAGAGAAATAGGCTTAAGCTAAGATGGACACACAGGAATTAAAGTTAATGAGCCAGCGTATAGAAATACCAAAACCTGCTACTCAATAACAAAGACATGAACAGCATTGTCAACTCAAGCTCAAAAACAGAAGAGTCAGAGTAGGATACACAAAACTTACACAAGACTATCTACTGAATCTCACACCATCGCCGCATGGTCCATACAACAATAGATCTTCCCTTTAAAGCTGTATGCGCAACATTTTATTAACCAATGCCAGTACATCATAAATCCCGTTCCTAACCGAGCATTTCTTTACCTTATCTCTAAACCAAACACACAAACAAGCCTGAAGAACAGAAGCCTTACTAAGTTCTAGGTAACAACCATATAAATAAGTGAATATACAAATATTTTCCTTATTAGTTGCACCCAGTGTCCAGAAATGCCTTATTCGGACGTTATTAGCTTAGTTTGCTTCCAAAATATTAGCCACAGGCTTATACAAAAGATTTATTTGTCTTTTTACAAATAGTAACCGATATAAGTTATAAGACAAGAATATACTTATTACTAGAGTCAAGCACATAACGAGCTAACAGGAACCCATAATGTGAGTTCGTTTCTGAGTATATGACATCGCATAAAGCACGATTTAAAAATAGTTTGCAGTTTTCAAAATTCTGTGATAGTGGCCTCATATTTCTGCAGCATAATAATAAAAATAAAAAAGGAAAACACAAAAACAGAACAGCATAATCTCTTATTTATTGCTCTGCCTTCAGCCACCCGGTATTATAAATAAATTTGATTTAGTTGAAAATCTCGATATTTTTTATCTCAAAAAGGTTTTCCTAAGCCAGAAAACCTACTCCTGCTAGTGCTGTACAGTAGTTGAGAAAGTGTTCAGCGCTCCTTCTCCTCTTCATCTCTGCACGTGCTACAGAAATCATTGAAAGGGATGACTTATCTATCTATCAACAGGACAGTGGTCCGTGGGTTATATATTTTAAATTAAATTCTTATTGCTAAAGCTACAAAAAGTCGGGACAGTAATGTTATTTGTATCTTGTAGTAAATTACGAATCCTTTAAATTTACATAAAAATCATATTCCATTCCATTGTCTAACGAATACTCAGTTAAAAAAAGCTTATTGTGTACATAAACTAAAATTTAATTGCTTCCTGGAGAAATAATAATGCCAGGAATATAATCCTCAGAGCTGATCAATTGCATATCATTTTCCATTTATTTATCACACAAATTGGCCAACGCTATGACAGCTCTTTACATTTTGCAGCCTCCCGCCATTCCCACACACCATTGCCTATTTTTATTAAAGACACTGAACATGCGAAGGTCAGGGCAGCCGCAGGCACACTGCACAACACAGTGGCTAGTTATCGTAGAGATCCATTAGTTGCAGCACATCTTGTGGCATGCCACCAGCAATCGTTGCACGAAGCCAAGGCTAAACCTCATTTGGCCAGGCGCTAATGAACGACAAGGCAATTTATCTGAAAGATCTGGCACTGTGTACTCGTGCAGCCTCGAGGTTTGGAATGTGAGAAAATTAAGCAATTATTTTCACTTTTCTGCCACAATATGTATGACGAAAATTGTCACTATATAGTAGGTTATTGGAGCTACATTTTGTAATGACAAACAAGCTGTCGCGTGGCAGGCATTTAGTTGACGGAGAAAATATGACGCCCGCCCCCACAAACTACCAAGTAAGCTGTTGATCTGAAGCTGCAGATCGTGATAAGTGAAAATCTTGTTTAGTTCGTGCAGGGTTTTCCATTTTATTTGGCTGACTTGGCTGCCGCTAATTTTACTTTCAATGAAACGCCACCAGTACCGAGGTACTTGAACCCTGAAGCACGGTTTTCCATTGCTAATAGTGGCATTCTGTGTCCCATCCAATGCCGATTGTCTTTAGTGAAAGTATTGTAGAATGCAAACCAAGGATGCGCCACAAGCAATGGCCCGTGAAAAATTGTTTGTTTGCATTCGCAATGACAACTCGCCTCTGCAACATGAAGAGAGTCGCGCTCGGTAGTCGAAAATGTCACCGAAGGCGCAGGCGTTATCGGCATCGAAGCATCTATGTCTGAGCTACGAAAATCTTGCACGAGAATGCAAGGGAAACTTAAACTGTGGTTCAAAGAAAGCTATCTGCCTGCCTGCCTGCTCTTTGGCATCTTCGACATGGGACATGGGCATTGGGTGTCTTATAAATGTGGCCATTATGCGCTGGTTGTCTGAAAAGTTATAGCTGCCTACCAACTTGGTCTTTTCACTTTCGTCTGCGGCGGCAAACGAACAAACTCAACTCCAGCTCCAACGCCAGCCCACAATTTTCAATGGACAAACACAATGCAGTTGACTAGCTGGCTAATTTTTGATATGTCTTGAACTTTCACTGAGCGTTCAAATTATTGCGTACTTAGAGCCAAGCACAATGATGCGAGCAGCTCCTCTAAGTACACACTCACTCATTTAAAGACTGCCCAGCGCACTTGCTGCTATTTTGCATACAATGAGCAGTAGTTGTTGTTGTTATTGTTGTTGCTACGTACAGTCGGGCAGTCGGTTGATGATGATGATGGGTGGCGCGTTTATTGACCGTTGAATTTATTAGTCATACCCATGACCACGCGCATGCGCCACGCTTTGCGTGCCACTGCTGCATTGCTTCACTTACCAGTGCAGCCAACAGCTAGCAGCAGGGTAACTGTAAACAATGCCGGCAGCAGCAGGCCATCTGGGCTAACTGCCAATACGGCCATAAATTTGTTGCATACTCGCTCGCTAATCCCAGTTACCCATAGCCAGCAGCCTCGACAACGTCTCTGCCTAACTGTCTGAGCCAATTTCATTAGCTCGTTAAGTCTGACACTAATCGGAGAGAATTCCGCACACTTTTTTCCCAATTGAGTTATAAAACCCAATTGGTCGACGTGTGGGGCCAATCTTCAATGTATTTGAAAGTGAAACAAAACATCAAATATGCTTGTAAATTCAAAAATCAATCAACTCTGTTAGTAATATTTAATAAAATAAAGGTCATAGTAAATGTTGTAGTATATGTTTTTGTTTTTGTATAGTTTTTTCGTACGCTTTCTTATCTTTTAAGTTGAAATTATAACGTTGTATTATTAAATATCTTTACTTTATTTTATAATATAAATCATAGTTTTTGAATATGTTGATTTATTAAAGAAAATAAAACAGCAAGTTAGTGAAAAATAGCTTCAGGGCTGATTCTATTTCAACACTCTATTAGCTGGCGTGCCAATCGCTCTCCCTTTAAATCATTTTAATTGCCAATCACAAGACTTATTTTTTCACATAAATTGCTGCTGGATGTAACAATGACAATTAAATACATCTTCTGACGAAAGCTGATGACGACTTCTCTGGTAAAATATTTCCAAATACATATTTCAAACAATTACTTCTACTTTCAAATTTCCCAAGCACCACAAATACCATAATGAATGCTTTTAAAAATCATTTATCTTCTGTCCCTTTAAATGGCTGTTTAACTCAATATGGAAGGGCTTGGTAGAAAAATTTAGAGCAACGAAAAAACCATTGACTCAGCAAGCGTATAAAAAAATTTCATCTGTAACAAATTTTTTTTTTCGAACACGAGTACAGCTCATTAAAATAAGTGTACAAATCGAAGGGCTCATTCGAACCCTTTCTGTTTATTTCTACAAGTCAACAATTATAATTGGTCTTTTTTAGTCCTATTAAGTACTTACATATGTAAGACTACTCTATTTGAGCGG